TTCGTGAACGTACCTGGTGGAGACCAGATATCACAGGGGGGGTTTCCTAATTTGTTTGAAGACAGAGTATTCATTTGTTTGCTAGCTTTCAGTTAACGAAGAGATATTTGAAGGGAAAAGATATCATAAATTCTATCTCAAAGTGACTGAGTCACAGGAAACACAAAACGTCTTTAGCTACTAAATCTCATAGCATACACCATGGATTATTTGAGTCATGTAATAGAATTTTGCCAATATACAAAGCCTCAAAAGCTTGACAGGAGGCCTCAGTACATACTCTATGTGTGTGTGTGTGTGTGTGCATGCGTGTGTATCACACATGCATGTTTCAAAATTTGTGTGAAATGGCATTTTGACAGCCTCTGGGATCCAAACTGGCTTGCCTGAGAACAGTTCACCTGCTTCTGGCCTGGTTCTGTTCCTGGTTCCGATGATTCAGACTGTCCCTGGGTAAACAGAAACATGACCCTCCAGAAACTAGCTTTTGACCGACTACAATAAAAGCTCCCTTACTGGTACCAGGGGGGAAATGGACTACTCCTGAAAGATATTTGCACATTGTTGGAGTTTCTTGACCTTAAGATACCTTTTTTGGAAGCATTTAAAGAACTGAAGAAAAGAAATTGCCCTTTAAGTAGACCTTGTGACAGAAGTAGGTGGGAAAGAATTACACTGCATTCCAGCCCTTACCTCTGCACAGGATAACCCCATGACAAACGCTAAAGCAAACACGCTGTAAAAATGCCATAATATTCCTGCGCCTTCTTTCTGATAAGAAGGGCTTATGAATTTTTATATCTTGAAAGCCTTTGTTTTGCAGGGTTTGTTTGAACACGTCACTTCGTACTGTGTGTGAGGAGACAGAATCATTTTAGAATCTGTTTACTCGGGGTTTCGAGGCCTAGCGTTTAGTGGGTTTCGTGTAAGAATCCACAGGTAGGACCTGTTTCTGTAAATGATTTATTTCCATGGATCTGTTCCTTTAATTGATTTGTTATTTACTTAAGAAAGTTCTTTCTTTGCTTGCCCGGTCATCTCCCTGAAAGCTCTTGTAAAGTATGAGGCCCTGGCAGGAACTGCCTGGTTCCTTCTCACATGGCATTTCTCTGAGGGCCATGCGTCCTCACAGGGGCCTGGCACCATTTCGTAAGGATCTTTCTTTAACGTTTCTTTCTTTTTCTTTCTGTGTTTGGTTTGGATGCTGTTGGCTGCAGTGGTACTGGAATCGAACCCAGGGCCTTAGGCATAGTAGTCAAGTACACTCTAAGGCCAAAGAATTTCTCTTCTCTTTTTTGGATATAGACTGTGTCCTGGGAAGGTGTTAACATGTACCCAGCCAACTATATTAATCCCCATAGCAAGCATAATAATAATAATCATAACACCACCTTGGTGACTAATGTTCTTGATTTTAAACTATAAATAAAAGCATTTTTAAGGAAGCTTTGCTAGTTGTATCGACTTACGAATTTTATCTATAAGGAAAAAGTGATTTATGAAAATTTAGCCTTTAATCTCAGCACTCGAGAGGCAGAGGCAGGCGGATTTCTCCAGCCTGGTCTACAAGAGTGAATTCTGTCTCAAAAAACAAAAACAAAACCAGAAGACAAAACAAAAAACAAACAAACAAACAACAACAACAACAACAACCACAAAAACAACCAAAAAAGAAAACAGCTTTGGCCTGACCTTCCAACCACACTATAATTCTGAACCTAGGCAGGACATAGACAGCAAAGCCAGGGCACCTGGGTTCTCCCTCTCTAACAGGAAGCCCAAGATCTTCAGGTGATTTGTTTCAGCTCGGTTCAGACTGTGAGAGTAAGGCAGAGGCAGAGCACTCTCCTTGGGTCCAATTTCCAGTTCAGTAGAGGAGCCCAGGCCCAGGGACTTGAACCTACCAACAAAACGGAAGTCTGACCCCTTTCTCAGCAGCAGTGGGAGCTGTTCTGATCCTTCATTTGCACTGTTCTCCTGTTCTCTCTCTCTCTCTCCCCCCCCCAACATGTAATGCATCATTGTGCACGAAGAAACTTCCAGAAGCTCCTTGTTAAAAAGGAAGCGTCATTTTTATATGGAGAAGCAGCTACAAGCTCCGGGTGAGCAGCAGACTGAACTTGAGCACCGCTCAGCCCTCTTGGTTTAGCCTTCCAGTTGGCCTTGAAGGGAATCATGGAATTCCACCCTTGCTTAGGAAAAACCACACTGCGGGGGAAAGCCTGTTTGGTGTCCAGGGGACTTCCAGGCGGCAGACTGGAGGCTGCATGCATCACTTGCCCGATGAGGCGTGCCTTCCAGACGGCTGTTCTGTTTTGTCCTTATCAAGGAGCCTGTTTGCCCACATGTTGCTTTCAGCCCAGGAGAGGCGACGAATGTTGGTGGGGGGGAGGGTAGAGAGCTGCTTGATTTCCTGCATCATGGAAAAATATATGTGCAGGAAGCATCCCCTTTCAGCTGGCTCAAGCCTGTCCGCGAGGCTCATTTCTAGGTGCTCTATTGTACTCAGTCCTTGTGGGAGCCGGATAAAAATAGCACACCGAGGAGGCTGTGTCTATAGACCCAGTGTGAAAGGGAGAGTTGAGGCAATTGTCCAGATAATCCAAGCAAAAACAAAACCAAACAAAATAAAACCATCCACCGTTGAGAAAAACAGACGCAGGAGCCCGAATGGTACAGCCCCGTTTTCTACATTGTTCAAATTCACCAGCTCTGCGTATATATTTACCTTTTTGACGTAGATGGGGCTTCAGTTGCTGAAGGGTTTTTCTCCCCCAATATTATCTCAAGTACCGGCTCAAAATATGCCCGTGCTTTAAAGTATCCCTAGCTGCCCTATTTCCTTGTAAGAAAGCAAATTTTGTCATGGTCTTATGCATTAAAAAAAAAAAAATACTAGACAGGTGTATGGAGACGAAATGGTTCAGAAGTTGGGAGGGGGTTTCTCTCTTCATTTGGCTCTGTGTGTGAATGAACCCCCCTCTAACAGGGAGCTGAGGGCTTGGGATGGTCTATCTGTATGCTCCCATGTGTTAGGCCTGTGGCTTTATGCTTGGTTAAGTGCCTGTCATGTGTGTTGGTTGCCGGTACAACAGCTTGGCTCATTTAGGAAGAAGGTAAGGAACCCAGTTTCCTTTGAGATAGCAGCTGGTAATATTCCACTGGAGCCAGCTGGCAGGGACTTTGTCACTTGGAGATGTTTGCTTGGCCAGGGACACCCCCAAGAACTGGCTTTCCGGGTTGGGGGTCATTGGCTTGTCCCTTGCTCTTGTTCTTTTGCTTGTTTTGGGTTTGGAGTTACCAAGGGTCCCACTGTGTAGCCGAGGTGGGCCTCGAACTAGCAATCTTCTAGGTAGCTTAGGCTCCTCAGTGCTGTGATTACAAGTGTGCATTGCCATGTTTGGTGACCTAGTTTTGAGAAGGGTGTGACTCTTGCTCACCATCCTTCATGCCTCTGATTTGTCCTTTAGCCTCTTTCCGACTATCATAGTCCTCAAGAACCACGGCTCTTTTTTTCCCGGGGGTTTTCTTTATTTCAGTCTCACTTTTCCCATTCCTCAAGTTTGAATTCTTATTTTCTTATCCCTCTTAATAATCCCCTCGCTTTTTCTCTGTCTTGCTCATTTCTAATCCATCCTAAGTAAATGCCAGACAGCCTTCCCTGAAGCTTTGCTTAATTGAATTGTATTTCCTTGTACAAACATCTTCAATAACTCCCTGTGGCCTGAAAGATCTCACTCAAATTCCACAGGCTGCCATTCGAAAGCTTTTGTCAATTTGGTTCTGGTGATTTCCCGGCCTTGTGTGAGCAGTCAGCTTCAGGAAGACAACTCGTTACCCTGCAGGAAGGGACCTTTATCTTCCGGCTCTGCACTGCCTCCCCAGTTGTCGCCTAGTGCTAGAGGGGACACATCTATTCTTCCAAGAACACTTTACAAATCATTTTAGAGAAAACGTGGCCCATCTTGTAAACAGAGTAAAGGAATCTCAGAGTTGAGAGACAGCCCAGAGACGGCTCAGTGGTCGAAAGCACAGGCTTCTCTCCCAGAGGGCAGAGGACTGTGTTGCGTTCCCAGCATGCAGGTTGGGCCCCTTACAACTGCCTATAACTCCAGCTACAGGGCCTGAGGTCTCTGGTCTCCAAGGGCATTGGCACTCACGTGTACACATGTAAATGAACAATATATAT